CCTGTAGTGTGCCATTGCACTACATGAGGGAGAAGGCAAGGAGACCAGCAACGTCCTTTACTTCTTAAATTCTTGACAAGGTTATGTGATGATAATCAAGCTTGACAAGATGCAACTCAAGTATAAAACTCACTCCAGAGTTTGCAGGTGGAGTTCTATAAAACAAGTGATAAAACATACCTCAATTCAGCAGCCACAAATTAAATTCATAACTTTATAAAAGGTTTAACAATAAAACAATCAATTAATGAAGCAACCACTGAGGTAGTAGTCAGTTATCTCTTTGTTGTTTATTCATCTATTCTCCACGACACACAAAATGTTTACCATAACTAGTCCTTCAGATCATTGCACAAAAGCATACAATCAACTAACATGGTTGCTTATTTGAGCCAACCTGCACCAAATGTCATCAAACAATATATGTCATGAATAATAAGCTTTATCAAAAGTTTACCTCAGAAAATGTTTTTCCCATCAACTTTGCTCTTTCTCGTCTCTCTGCCTCAAGACGTCTATAAAGCCATTTCTCGATGTGGTCACTCAGTAAGGACCTGGTAAGAACATCTCCCACTATAGGACCTGGAAGGTGGAGAACTCCATGATTATGTCATGGCTGGTGAACTCTATGACTAATGAGACAGGTGAAATTTTTATGTACTATAAAACTGCTAAAGAAATATGGGACACTGCTCGGGAGATGTTTTCGAACAAGGACAACACCTCAATCATTTTCGAGATTAAAGGTATTCTTCATGATCTTAGACAAGAAGACATGTCTGTTACAACTTACTTTACAACTCTCACAAGATACTGGCAGCACCTTGATGTCTTCGATGATGTGGTTTGGAGTTGTTCCAATGACAAAAAACAATACAGGCAGATTCTGGAGACCGAGCGAATTTATAAGTTTCAGCTGGGGCTTAATCGTGACCTTGATGCAGCGGATGGCAGAATCCTCAGTAAAAAGCCCCTACCCAGTGTGCGCTAAGTGTTCTCTGAGGTTCATAGGGAAGACAGTCGCAGAAAAGTCATGCTCCAGATGATACTCCTAGAAGTGAAAGCTCTGCGTTGGTTGCCAAGGCCCCCCCAAAACAACACTCGTGGACCGCAGGGAAACGGGGGGTTTCAAAGAAGGAACAATCGTCCGTGGTGCAATCATTGTAAACGTCCAGGACACACTAAGGAAATTAGTTGGAGAATACACTGAAAACCTGCTGATTAGAAACACGCCCAACGCCAATTTCAAGACAACAACAGCAAGGGAAACGTCGCCACGACAGAGCCTCAAGATCAAGCAGATTCCAACCCTTTCAACAAAGAACAAATGGAAGCCCTCAAAAAATGTTACAGGCCACGGTTCATGGAGCACTCAACCTAGGAAGTCCAAGCACAGCAACATTAGCACAATCAGGTAGTCTTCCCACCGCCCTTTATGTAAATTAAGGCAGAAGCAAAGCCTTGGATTGTGTGACTCAGGAGCTTCGGACCACATGACAGGAGATATCACAGTATTTGATACCTACAACCCACAGTTCAATGAAGCAACAGTCCGAATTGGAGATGGTACATATTCGTCTGTAACAGGAATAGGTTCAGTAGCTATATCACAAGATATTAGACTGACCTCAGTGTTGGTTGTTCCTAAATTGGGTCATAATATTTTGTCCATTAGTCAGCTCACTAAGGATTTGAATTGCATTACTAAATTTGCTCCAAATGTGTGTCTTTTAGGCGTTGTGCTCGGGGAGGACGATTAGCAGTGCTAAGATGACCGCAGGACTTTATCTTCTAAAGCCAGAAATTCAACCATCTCAGAAAGTCTCAAATCCGGCTTGTGTCATGTCTTGCTTCAAGTTCAGATTCTGATTGTTGCTATTTGTTGGCCCAAAAACTGGCCCATTACCAAGAGGCCCAGTGCTCCCTCTTATTTCCCTTTCCGAGCCCTTGTCCTGACTGTCTACTGTCACTTTTGAGTCCCATTTCCATTTGTTGTAGGTTGGCTCCCACCTCTATTTGTTTCCCTAGCCATCCCTTCGTTGTCGGTTCCCCCACTATATACCTTGCTGTAGATCAGAGAGGAAGTAAAGAGAGAGAGATTGAGAGAAGAATAGGAGCGGCGAGAGTGAAGTAGATCAAGAGCTTTGTGCTCTGGAGATCTGAGTGATCCTGCGAGCTTTGTGCTCTCATCCTTTGTGCGATCCTCTACCTTCTGGCTTTGTGCTTTCACCCTTTGTGCGGTGAGTAATTGTGAGAGGAGAGAGAGACAGTGAGTGTGACTGTGAGAAGAGTGAAGAAGAAGAATAGTGGCTTTGTGCTCTGAGAGCTTTGTTCGATCCTCTCCCCTACTGTGAGCTTTTCCCGTTCATTACTTTGTGCGATCCCCTTTCCTCTTTGTGAGTGATTGAAGGAGAAGATCAACGAGCTTCCCTTTGTCTTCTTGGTGGTGCACAACTAAGAAGGAACAGTGACCAAAGAGCAGACTTCTGAGCCAAACAGCGACGACCAACGATACTCTACAGTGGTATCAAAGCTCGATGAGTCGTCGCCCTTCCAAAACAGCCGATCGTCGTCGCAAGAATCGTCACCGTCGCCGCCGCCGCAGATCTACGACTCCAGAACGCCAGACCACCGCTGGACCGTCGCGTGGGTGTGGGTAAGGTCGAAACCCTCTCCTAGGGTTTCGCTCAGGTGAATTGACTGAAAAAATGAACTCTTATCAGTGTTTTCTTTCCGCTGCAGTCAAGCTCTGTCTTTGTTGAAAATTACAGTAATTGTTGAAAATTACAGTAATTGTTGAAAATTACAGTAAATCTTCAAGATTATCTTTTTTATTGTGTTTAATCCCTGGTTTTTTTTATTTCGCTACGTTTTACTGCTGAAGTTAAATTTTGTTTTTGCTCGTGCGAAAGAACAAAAGGTTTGAACCCGAGTTTCGTGCTCATCGTTATTCTTATTTTGTTCGTTCTAGTTGCTTCGCACGTTTCGAGCCTGATAAATTTTTTGAAAATTTTTCAGCTGTATTTGCATTTTATATTTTCTGTTATTGTTTGTGCTCGTGTGAAAGAACAAAGAGATTGAAACAATAACTTTGTATTCATCGTTCTTCTCATTTGGTCGTGTTAGTTGCTTCACACGTTTCGAGCCGGATAATTACCGAAATCAGAATGTTTACTGCTAATCCATATAGTATGTTTTCGTTCAACGAAAAATCTAATTTTAACATTTGGAAATAAAAAATAAAATACATTTTAATTCAACAGAAGTCTTTTAGGGTTGTTGGTCAAACTTATTTGACTTTTGACACTGAAGAAAAAATGGCTGAAATGAACGAAAATATTTGTTCCACAATTTATTTGAACTTATCTGACTTTGTGCTTAGAAAAGTTAGAATTTTGAAATCTGCTAAAACCCTTTGGGATAAACTTGAAGAACTCTATACTGAAACCTCTTTGCCCAGTAAAATGCTTTTGCTTGAATTTTTTTTAAAAATTTAGATTGGATATGTCTAAGGATATTGAGGAGAACCTAGATGTTTTTACAAACCTTATTTCAGATATTAAGTTAACTGGTGATAAACATATAAACGATTATACTCCTATTGCCCTTCTAAATGCTATTCCAGACTCATATGGTGATGTGAAATCTGTTATTAAATATGGTAGAGATGAGGTTACCCTTGACATTGTGCTCAATGGTCTTAAAAGTAAGGAATTAGATTTAAAATATTCTGGGGGAAATAATAATTCTGGTGAGGTTATGCATATAAGGGGTAGGTCTCAGAATAGGTCTAATAACCAAGAGAATGCTAGTAATGAAGAATCAAGTAGGAAAAAAAACCAAAAATGGAAGGGGGTAGATCTAAGTTTAGGTCTAAAGTTAAAAAATGCTATAACTGTCATGAAACTAGTCACTTTATTAGAGATTATCCTAAGCCTAGGGAAAATCAACAAAATGATCATACTAATATGGCTATCTGTAAGAGCGAAATAGGTGAAATTTTTATGATTAATAATTTGTGTGATTATGCATATTTGAACTCTGTGTTATCTGATTCTTTGTGTAAATCAGATTGGTTTGTAGACTCTGATTGTACTTTTCATATGACTCCTTTTA